AGTGAATCCATTGAAGAGAGAGGCGCGAAGCAGAAGTCAGGAAAGCTCACGCTCGGCGGACAAGATACCAGCAATAAAGCCGAGCATAACTTTGTCCACGGAAGACTTCAACGAAGTTCTAAACGCGAAGCTGAAAAAGCTTCAAGAGCAGGTGCAAGAGAAGGAAGAGCAACGTAAGAGCGCGAAGAAGGGCCAAAGGGCCTTCCGTAAAAAGCCATTCATCACCACTGTAAAGACTGGCGAATTTCTGATGCCACCGCCGGAAGTCGCTGCTCTCCTTGGTATTGCAACGAATACCAACGATACCGAGAACATCGATATTTGTCCTTTGCGGTCAAAGTTCAAGTCACTCGCGTCGTTAGCCAAGAAACCGGAAGTACGTCATAGCAGCCACATTGCCAGGTGCCCGGCTGCTCTCAAGGCCACTGTTGACTTTACCCTCGGAATGATGAATGCAACGACCATGGCTGCCTCGACTTTGGATGATCGAACTAAGACCGCTAAGAGAAACGACGCGACGTAAGTTTGCCAACATTTTGGGAAACTTATTCGCTGTGTTTTATCTTGCGCCCCTTTAAAAACGAGTAAAAAAGAAAGGAATGTCCTTGCAAAGCGTTGAAAAAGCGTGTCAGAAACGATCGAAACGGCAAGTTCACGAATCGTTTCGTTACGTGTACGGAGGAGTTTGCTGAAGATTATCGATTTAGATTGCGTGCACGCAGATCGTAGATTTCTTTGTATATATACTCGTAATATTCTACGTGCGTGTATAGTTCAAAATATACACTGTACTATGTAATTTAACAAGTACTATGTAACCAAAGCTTCCAATTCACCTTGAAACACGTAAAATCCTTTTGATCTCTTTTCTTTACAGTGATCAACCGATTCCTTTTGGGAATATCATGTTTGATCGGCGCGTCGTTCGAGGAAGCACGTATGCCACTCCTCCTATCCTCGTGAGTAATAAATTAGACAATACTGTTCGAAAACACGTGTATCATGCATGGGAAAATAATCATGCATTTGTCTCAGATCGATGGAGAGCAATCGATAGCAGCGAGGCAAGCGGAGGCCAGAAGGAGGAATTTGGCTAGGAAACGAGCTCAGGCACAAGCTACTAAAGCTCTGGTTGCTAGGGTAGGCTCGCCACCGCCGGTTCCTGGCCGTAAGCATGAGCCGGTGCAAACAGAAGTTTATCTCGAAGAGGTAAGCTAGGTTCTTTCTTTATCTCGGCGATTTATCAAACGTTGTAATAGCCTGCAATTAACAAAATCCGCATGATGGGTATGGATATTATATTTGACAGTTATTCGAAAAACCTGATGAAACCGATATCGCGACACAGACTGATTACTTCCTAGATAGACCGCCAACACCGAAATATTGCCCGGATAAAGTTGGCCAAGATGCTTGTACACAAATTGAACCTGGTGATGTAAGTTGAATGAAATTCGTAAGGCGAGTCTGAAATTTGATTTTTTACAGATGACCGTAATAATTAAAAACTGCAAAATTGAATAATCTGAATTGTTGTTACCAATAAAAGATCGATCGAGTATCAGTCGTTCAATCTCGATGAATCTTATCTTCAGCTGTTCGACTTCGACTACGAGGTGCAACCGATACTCGAGGTACTCGTTGGTAAAACCGTAGAACAGGCATTAATAGAAGTTCTTGAAGAGGAAGAGATTGCCGCTTTGAGGGAACAACAGAGAAAGTTCTTGGAATTACGCGCTGCGGAAAAAGCTGAGGCGCGGAGACTGGAAGAACAAGAAAGAAGACTAAGAGAAGAAAAGGTTTGGATGATAATTTGTTGATGAAGAGTTTCATTGTTGGATGTCATTGTCTGAATTTGAGATATATTCGATAGGATCAACGATTAAAACAACACGAGGACGCGATGGTAGCTCGAAAGGAAACGGAAGAACGGATCGCAGCAGCTACCCTACTAACAGGATATATAGCTGATCTTCTTCCAGCGGTTCTCGAAGGATTGAAGATGTCCGGGTTTCTGTTGGACGAAATCAAGGCTGGTTCGTGAACACGCAAGAACACTGCTACTTTTTGTGCATTAGTTAGTCAGAAAGGTTTATTAATTTTTCTTTATTTATACCCTTTAGTCGATAACGTTGCCAGACGCACAGAAAGAAACACTCATCCCCTTTTCCTACCTCGCTTTTTAATGTTAACTGAATTAAGTATAACCGGCTCTAATAAAAGGAAGTCTAATATCTGCTTTCACAGATGTCGAAGAAGGTTTTATGCCATGGTTGATGAAGGAGGTTAAGAAAGAAATGAGCTACGTGATCGAGAGCAAGGAATTACTTATGGGTAAACGTCATTAGTTTGTTAATAAATTAATAATTTATTATATTCAAAAGTCTCGCGCTTTTAGGAAATTTCGTGATTAATAATTCCAATCATAACAGGTATATACAGTTTTGCACCGAAATTCAAAACATTATTTATTTATAAATAAATGCAATATAATTAATTACACATTTTTAGTAGTTAGTAAAACAATACATAATGTTGTAAACAAACTACTTATTTACCCAAGAAATTATTTCTTTTGAAACTCCAACATGCTCCAAAGTTAATTAGGATAGCGTGCCTTTAATAGTTACATATGAAGCTAAAAATTTATATCACTATGACTCGATTTAAAATTTGTAGAAGTATCTAATAACACTAAAAGAAAGGTTTACCCTCTGCTCATATATCCCCATTAAGAAACTATTGTGTAGAAGGTACTTTATGTTATTTATTGTTACCTTTGAGAAGGCATGAAAGACTTAGACTGAAATTCCTCCTCTCGCTATTGTCAGCATTTTAAAATAGATTAGAAGTTGTTGACGTTTCATTGCATATTCTTAATAGTCTTTTCTGTACGCAGATATCGTCAGGGAAATCATAGAAGACCGCGCCGAAACGTATAAGAAACTTGGCGAAGAGTACGATGCCTCAAAGGCAAGGAAATCATTGATGAATCACATAGAAGATGGCGGCAATGATCTGAATTTCGTAAATTATGAACCACCCGTTATCAAGAATACGGACGTCATTTAATCAACCGATCTCATCAAACATTTTTGTACGTAAAGTTAAACAGATACGTAACAAACTGTCATCAAGCGATCGTCGTCCAATTAAAGTTGGTGAACTTTTTGCTATTCGGATCATCGTTTGCCGAAGCTTTAATGCTCATTGATCTTGGGACCGAAAAACGAGCATATCATAGTTAGCTTTCGGATTTAGGGACGCCTTCACCAGCATCGGAGCAATCCCCATCCCAGTAGCTTCTACATTAAGCAGTGTACACAGCTGCGAGACAAATCCATCTCCTCCGGTTGCGCCCTGTGACAGGTCACCGCCACGTTTTCCCCATAGCGAACACCAACTACTACAGCCCTGTTCCATCAGAAATTAATTATCCATTTTCTAATACTCGCCGTGCTGGATTTTCTAAGAACAGGAAACATTTCATTTCGGAATTTAAGGAAACAATAATATTTTTATTCGTTAAAAAATTCATTTATTTTTCAGATTCGTTCCGAGCCGAGGAACAGCGACGACGAAACGATCGACAGAGCCAATCGAAATTCAAAGCGGAACTTTCGAAGCGATAGAAGCGCTTTGTGAAAGATTCGTATCCGATAATTAGTTTCATGAAACGTATTTCAAGTGATGCAAATAAACAAAACGTTTATTACAGAAGAAACATCGAGTATTCTTTTCCATTCTTTTGACGCAAGTTTTATAGACTTTTCTTTCGTAAGATTTAGAGAAAATCTCGAGCTTGATATATTTCCTTAGATAAG